AGTCTGCCCTGGGCCCCGGTCAGCGTCTCCCCAGCCTGCTCTAGTGGAGCTCCGCGCAGGCTCATGGGGACAGAGCCCACCCGAGTTTACTCATGAAGATGCCCTCTGTGGCTTTGACGTTTGAAGGACTGTTGGCTGAGCTGTGTGATTCTTGGCTCATGTTTGCTCTCACTGAGGATTTTTATAAAAGGTGGTTTTGCCACTGCTCCACCTGCACGGTGGTTCTGGTGTGGGTCTCTGGCTCTGGTGTGGGTCTCTGGTTCTGTTTCCTGGGGGCCTGGAGGACTGTGTGTTTCGCTGGGATGTGTCTGGGAGTCCGTTGCTCTGGGGTGATTGTTTCGAGGGCTCAGATGCCCCTCAGTGTGAGTTCAGCTCCCCCTGCCTTGGGAGGCTTCCCTGGGCCCCGAGTTCCCTGCCTCGCCCTCTCCCCGGGGACCGGGGTGCAGGGGCTCCCCCTGCCCTTGCCCACGCCCACCCCACCCCGCCCTTTTGCTGACGCTCTCCTCGTTTTCTGTGTTTTTCCACCCTGCGTGGCCCCTGCTGAACTTTCCTCGAAGTCGGTTCTCCCTCGGGTGCTCTGTAACGTGCCCTTCTTTCCTGTGACGATTTTGTCCTTTTCCCCATTTCTGTCCTGAGGTTGATCCTGTCTCTCTTTCGAGTCCGCTTCTAATTTCGTTCTGTTTCCAAGCGTTTCTCCTCCCCTCGGCGCCTGTCTGGATGTTTGCCTCTGTCTGCAGGGGGCTCGCAGCTCTGGGCTGCTCTGTGCCTCTGTTGAGGGCGGGCCTCTTCCTGGGGGTGCGCTTTCCTCTCGGGCCGCAGCCCTGAGGGGACCTGCTTTTCCTCTGCCCGCCGCATTCCTGGCCTCACAGCACCCTCTTCTGTCCATCCGGCAAAGTCTGGCAGAGCTGTGCCGCCTGCTGTGGGCAAGGGGGTGCCTCCCCTCCGTCTCAGAGCGCCCGCCTGCCCCTGCTCCCCCGCTCACATTCCCGCTGCAGCCTGTCCGCCCTCCCCGCAGCCCTGCTCTGCAGAAGCGGGGCCTCCTGGCGCCCTGCAGCCAGCCCGTGGACCCGCCGGGCCAAGGGTCTCCTGCCATCCGCAGACGCCTCGGGCCGCCCCTGCCCAGGGCTAGGTGTGACTGCGCCGTGTGGGCTGGTCGCCCGGCTGCCGGTTAGACCCAGAAGCTGTGAACCCGGTGACCTGCCCCCCGCCCCCTCACCCTTTCTACTCTGTGCCTCCGAGTCCGGCTGCTGCGATTCCCCCTGGGTTGGAAGTTGGTTTGGGTTTTTGCACGGGGGCCTCTTACCCGCCTCCCGTCTCAGCCGGAAGCCCTGGGTTCCCGTGTGGCCATGCGGAGTCTTGTCCCGGCGCCTTGCCTCCATTTCTTGGCTTGATGTTTCCCTGAGGGGGGCTCGCCCTCCCGTTTCCCCAGAGACGCAGGAGGGAAGGAAGGCTTCGTTCTTTTCATCCACCGGTTTTCAGAGGGGTATGCTGGCTCCATGCTGACTGGCATGGGGGAGGGGGGTTAGCATCATCATGAGCTCATGGATGTAAGCGTGTGTGTGTGTGTGTGTGTGTGTGTGTGTGTGTGTGTGTGTGTGGCCTGTCCTGGAAGGAGGGGGAGTGCTGGTTAAACTCCGACGTGGCGTCAGGCTCCTCTCCCACTTCCTGCAGGGCCCTCCAAACCCCCCAAACCCCCCACCCCAATGCTCCTTGCGGGGGCCAGGCTCCTCCGAACCTGCTCTCTCCCCCGAGCCCCATTCCTGGCTGTGCATTCGTCCCTGGGCTGCCCAGGGAGAGCCTCCGTGGACCCCGTGTAGCCTCTGGCGTGGGGGGCGCATGGTCTGCAGGCTGTGAAGAGGGGCACGGCGGCTGCTTTCCCGGCCTGCGGGGCCCTTCCTGCAGGCGTCTGTCACTTTCCTCCCCAGATGCTTCATAATGAGGACCCGTCATTTCAGCACCTTGGTTCTCACGCGAGACGTGCCTTTGTCTCCTCCCGTCCACTCCCGCGTGAGCTCGTCCCGGCGCCTCATCGTGTCTTTCGAAGCCCCCTCTCCTGTCCTCCATGTGGAGGGGCCTCCCCACCGAGCCCTGCGGCGGGTGGTCTGCGCCTGCAGGCCACCGGGGGCTCCCTGACGTGTGGGGGGGCGCGGGGGGGGCTATTTTTGGATCCTTCATTTTTTCGAGATTTGTGGGATCAGAGTCAAGTGTTTGAGGAGTTTGATGTGACGTGAAGAGTGAATTCTGTGCCTTAAAAGACCACTTAAGTTCAGACCACGACAGAGTGAGTGGTCTCGTGAGGGAGATGTGTGTGGGTGTGGAGGCGGCAGCAAGGCCCTGCCCAGAGGGCCCGCCCGGCCTGAGGCGGCTGCTTGGGCCATCAGGTCCTGGCCTCCGTGAGTCACCAGCGGGGCGTCCCTGGAAAGCAGCTCCGCTCGGCCTTCCCTGGGGACTTGGGCGTGGTCCCTGCCACACTCTGGGGACCCACAGCCTCTGCACACGGCGTGGCGGTGTGACCTGCAGGAGCCCACGCGAATCCCCTGCCCATCTCCGGGATGCCTTCTGCCCTTCTCGCCCCCGGACTGGAGCTGGGCCTGAGCTGCTGGACAAGGGGGACTGGGCCCGGAGGACGCAGGCCTGAGCAGGGTCGTGAGCTGCCAGCTTCCTCGGGACGACCTGCGGCTGTCCGCGCCCCTCCCGGCCTGTGCTGCTCCTGGCATGCCAGGAGGAGCCGCCCGGGTGGAGCCCTGGGCCCCTCATGAAGGTCTGGCTTTGTGTGTCGTCCCGGGTTCCAGACGCGGCGGGGACAGCCGCACACATCACGCAGCCTGTGGTGGCTTTCACGCGACTGCGCTGTGGTGTCACTTGTTCCTGGGCCTGAGGCCAGGCCGTCTGGTGCCCTGACCCAGGCTGCCCAGAGCCGCTTCTGACCGGGGTCCCTGGTGCCCTTTGCGGTCCCAGCCCCAGGCCCGGAAACCAGCCTGCAGTCTGCCCTGGTTGTGGAGGTGATCTGCTGCCTGAGTGCCCGGGCCCCTGCCCGGCTGTGTGGTGTTGGGTGAGGTGCCCACTGGGAGACCTGCCGCCTGGTTCCCAGAGCCCTGAGGCTGGAGTCCAGAAATGGGGGGTCCGGGACGGTGTTGAGGGGGCAGTGAAAGCGCGCTGGTGAGCATCCTGTACCCTGCTCAGGCGGAGTGCAGGCGCGAGCCGGGTGTCACTGCGTGCCCTTCCCTGGGGCACGGCCGGGTCCAGGCACCCTCCCTGAAGCTGGACATGCCGCCCGCCATCTTGGGTCAGGGGCAGCTGCCGCTGAGCAGGGCTCCCTCCTGCCCGCCTGGCACTCTGCACTCCGCTCCAGGGCCTGGCCCATGTCCCTTCCCCCCAGCCCGCTCTCTGGTCAGCTGGCTGAGCCCCGGGTGCAGCCCCTTCCCGTCGGGCACCTCACTGCCCTTGTGCCCAGAGGAGCTGTCTCAGCCCATGGACCGCGGCCCGTCCGCCCACTGCTCGCTGACCTCTGGACAGGACGCGGTGGCCGAGGCCGGGTGCAGGCAGCGTGGGAAGTGACACTGTGGCCCTGCGCGTGGGTCGCCCGCCACTGGGATGGTGGGCGGGGGAGGCCAGGGTGGGCTCTGCAGGGCCAGCCGTGTCACCGCGCCAAGGGAGGCGCAGAGCGGAGGATGGCCGGGGGGCGGGTGTGGACGGCCGGGGCCCCACTGCTGCTCCAGCACCACCCTCGCTGTCCGTCCCGGCCACCCTGCCCTGGCCGTCTCCCGGGGGCCTCACCCTGGCCGCTGCCCCCGCCGTGGACGTCCTGGCACCGCTGCCCGTGCCCCCAGCCCCGGGGCGTGGGGCTGCGGCCTCCGGGTCCCCTCGTGAGCCGTGTGGGTCCACACCTGCCCGGGTGACCCGAGGGTCGCTCCCGACACCCAGCCTGTTTCAGGGCCCAGGGGAGACACGGGTCCGGGCCGTCGCCCGTGTCAGGACCCCATGCAGGGAGGGCTGCAGGGCGGCCGGGCCGCTGGATGGCTCTCCCTCTCAGGACGGCTCCCCTCAGGACAGCTCTCTCCCTCAGGATGGCTCTCCCCCTCAGGACGGCTCCCCCTCAGGACGGCTCTCTCCCCCTCAGGATGGCTCCCCATGAGGTCGGCTTCCCCTCAGGACGGCCCTCTCATGCTTCCCGTAGAGCCGCCAGGCTGCATGGCCGCAACTCTGAGGAGGACTCCGTGGTCAAGTCCGAGTGACAGGAGGGAAGCCCGGCTGGGTGCCGCCTTGGGGCCAGTCTGGCTGGAGCCCGGGGAGACCCTGGTGACCAGGGAGACGCCGCAGGCCTAGCCCTGGGGGCTGGGGGGCGAGCTGCGCCCGGAGGAGTGGGCCCGCCGGCTCTGCCGCCTGCCCCTGCCTGGGTGCACCCAGTCCCGCTGACCGCTGACCGCCGCAGCCGCGCCCACCTCCCCAGGGGCTGGGCTGGGGCTCGGGGGCTAGTCGGGCAGCCGGGCATGAGACAGCGCCCGCCCTCGCGGCCAGCTCTGCTCCTCCTGTGCGTGCCCGTCGCTCAGTCGTGTCTGACTGTCTGTGACCCCATGGACTGTAGCCCCCCAAGGCCCCTGTGTCCATGGATTCTCCAGGGAAGAACACGGGTGGGTCATCATTCGCTTCTCCAGGGCATCTGCCCAGCCCAGGGATTGAACCCAGGTCTCCCGTGTTGCAGGCGGATTCTTCACTGTCTGAGCCACCGGGGGAGCCCTGCTCCCTCCTAGATGGTGGGACCCATGCACACATGTGCGCACAGCGCCGACACACGCATACGACACGCGTGCACTCACATCCCCGCGGGGCCGCGGCAGCGTCAGGACGGCTGTCCTCCTGGCCCTGCCCACTGCTCTGTGGCCGACGTGGGACCTCCCGTCGGGGTCGGGGAGACGCCAGCACTCCTGAGAGACGGGGAGCTCCCTGGGGGCCACGCCCCGGGGTCGGGGGCCACCCTGACTCCTGCCTTTCTTCTGCAGGTCGTCCACGCTCATAGGCCACACTTCCTGGCCCTGCACTGCCAGGAGTTCGGAGGGAAGAACTATGAAGCGTCCATGTCGCACGTGGACAAGTTCGTCAAGTAAGTCTGGGGGCAACTGCCTGGCCTCCACCTCCTCCTGGGGTGGGATGGGCGTGGCTGGGGACGAGGGGCAAGCCCCACTGAGGGCCAGGCCCGGGTTGGGGTGCCTTGCCCAAGACGGGGCATGGCCCGGGCATGGGGGGTGGGGGAGCGACGGGGTGGCTGCACCCCCTGGGGTTCCAGGCAGTGGAACCTCTGAGCTCAGAAACGTCAGCCCCAGGTCCAGGCTGAGATTCCGTCCTGTGGCCTCACGGCTGTGTGGCCTGCTGCTGCTGAGGACTGGTGGACGGATGGGCCGGGTGTCCACTCAGAAGCTCACAGCTCGCTGGTCGCAGTGGGGCGGGCACAGAGTTCCGCTGTCCGTGGGAGGCGTGCCCTGTGGCTCTGTGGGGGTCAGGCCTACCCAGAGTCGCGCGGCGCCGCCCAGGAACAGGGACGCGGACCTGGGAGCTGGACACGGGGGTGGGCAGGAGCGGGCCGGACGGCAGGCGCCCTCTCTGCTGCGCGTGACCCAGACTCCAGGCGCTGTGGCAGCTCCCACTGGTGGAGGGGGAGGTGACGCCTCCGAGGCCGCTGTGGGGGGTGTCCAGCCTGGCCCCAGCCTGAGGCCGAGCCCAGCAGCCATCACTGGCCTCAGTCCCCTGTGGGTGGACACAAGTCATCCCTGTTTTCCGCTGTCACACTGACAGATGTTAAAAAACTTCCAAATGTTCCCCAGATAACCTATCACTTAAAGCAATTTCAATCAAAATGTTTTCTTAGCGCCGAAACCAATACTAGAGTCAGCGTAAAGAAGCAGAGGGCCAGGGCTCGCCACAGTGATCCTGGAGCAGAGCGAGGCGGGCGTCCTCGCTGCCCCGGCCCGAGCCCCCGCGTGTGGGCGCGGGGCGACACCTGGCGGGCTGTGCAGGGCCCCGCGCGTCGCCCCCGGGCGTGGCCAGTGGCGGCTGGGTTGGGAGGGCACTGGGGGGCCCTGGGCTAGGAAGCCATGCGCTGGTCCCCCCGCCCATCCTGTCCCCTTCCCTCCCCCGCCTTCCCGGGCTGAGCTCGTTGTGCCAGAGCCAGGGCGAGAGGCCTCGGGTGGCCCGGTGGTCCGGTGGTGCGAGGGTGAAGTGCAGGAGAGCATGCGGGCAGAGGCTTCGTCAGAAGGTGTGCAGGTCCAGCAGAGGGAAGACGGACACGTTGGACTGTGGTGACATTGAAGTCTTCATCCAAAGACACCACAGACAAAGTCACAGTTTAGCCACAGTTGGGAAAAGATATCTGCAGTGTACTTGACTGACAAAAATGGTCAGTATTTAAATGTCTGAAGAACTCTAGTTAGTCAACGAGAAGAGAACACTTTTGGGGACGCCGGGCATTTCAGAGATGAGCAGACGGGGCTGCAGGGTCTCACCTCCATGCCCACACCATCACACGCTCCTGTCCCCTGCCATCGTCCTGCTGTTGTTAGAGACGCTTTATTCCTGCCCAAGTTGTGCGTAACACGTGTGTTGCCGTTTTTGCTCTGAACCAGCCGGCTACCTTTCTCAGAGGTTAAAAAGTGCAGGGACGCGTCCCCTGTGTGGCCACCTGCCGCCCCCAGGGCACGGCCTTGTCTGCACCGTCAGCTTTCTCTCGCACCATCTTCCTCCAACCTGAGAACGTTAGCGTTTATCTCAACGCAAGTTGCTGCTGATCAATTATCTCAGCTTTTGTTTGTCTGAAGGAAGTCTTTGTCTTCGTCTTTGAAAGCTGTTTCTGTTGTAAACAGAATTCTCGTTGTCCATTTTCCCCTTCAGTACTTTAAGTATACTGTCCCATTGTCCTCTGTGCGGCCTTGTTCCTCAGCAGAGTTGGCCGTTGTTCTGGTCTTCATCTTCTGTATATACTGTGTCTTTTCCCCCCGACTCGCAGTTTGTCTTTCTAGCTCGTGTGTAGCAACTTGATTGTTTTGCTTTAGTTTGATTTTCTTTGTGTTTCTTTTGCTGGGAGTTCTTTGAGCTTTTCCAACCTGTAGGTTCATAATTTCACTGAAACTTCAGGAAAGCATTTGGGTTGTTGCTTCCTTTCTCTTTGTTCTCAGACTCCCACTTCTGATGCTAGACTGTCACACAGTCTAGCTCTTTCAGATTTTTTCAGTTCATATTTTTCTTCTTTGCTTCAGTTTGAATAGTCCTGTCTTTTAGTCACTAATCTATCCTTTTTTTTTTTTTACATTTTAATCTGCTCTGAGGTCCATCCAGTGAATTACTTCTGGTACTGTAATTTTAGCTCTAGAAGTACCATTTGTGTGCATATTTTCCTTACTACTCTGTCCACGTTTCCCTTTAAATCTTTGGTTATATTTATAGTAGCTCTTTCGAGTCTCCTTTCAGTGAATTGCATCGCTTTTGTCCTTTCAGGGTCTGTTTCTGTTGACTTTCTTGTGGGGCACGGGTCCTGTCTGCCGCTTCTCGGCATGCTGATTTGCGCGGTGTCGTGCCCACACCCTGCCTCTACCCGCGGGCACACTGGGGCTTGTCTGGCAGGCGGCCGGGGCTCGGGTGCTAGGTTGACCCTCTCAAGGCTCGTCCTCCCAGCCTTCCTCCCCACTCCTTCCTGCTTGCTCGCCTTCACCTCTCAGAGCTGGAGCCCTCTTCTCCCCGCCCCGGGTGGAAGGCCAGTGGGGCACCCGTGTCCCCTCCCCTTGCTGAGCAGTGTTGGGGTGCAGCCCTTGGGGGGGTCAGGCGCCCCCATCCGTCCAGAGCCATCCAGACCCCGGGCGTGCGTGGCGGCTGCACTCCAGGCACGTCTTAGAGATGGGCCTTCCCCACTTCCTTCCCCGCTCCCCCGCTCCCCATGGTTTCCAGGCGGCCTTTCCTGCCCCCATAAGCGCTCCTGTGGAACCAGGAGCTGCCTGCGTGACGTGTGTAAAGACGTCCCTCTTCCTTCCAGGGAGCTGCTTTCCAGCGACGCGATGAAGGAGTACAATCGGGCGCGGGTCTACCTGGACGAGAACTACAAGTCCCAGGAGCACTTCACGGTGAGCGTGCTCCTCCTCCGCGCGGGGGCCCGTGGGCCCTGCCGTCCCCTACACAGCGGGCTGCCCTGCCCCGGGCACGGGCCATGCGTGAGTTCCACGTGACGGTGGGGGGACCACGGACAGCAGCCCCCGCTGGCGTGACGGCCAGGGGTGTGCTGGGGGCGGGGACACGTGGGCGTCTCGGGGTGCAGAGCTGGGCAGCTCTGGGTGGCTGTCACCGCCTCGAGGGTCCCCGTCTCGTGAAGAGTGGCGTCAATCAGCTCCTCAGTGGACGGGGCCTTGGTGCTCGGGCACAGAGGCCGTGGCCTCAGGAAGGCCGGGAGTGCCCGCCGCCCGTCCACCTGTCTGTTTCACACAGCCTTTGGAAGTCTCCGTAGTTCCTGGAAAGGCTCAGTTCCCGAGCTCTCTGCTCTGCTCGGAGGTACCTGTCGTGCCGTGCTGATGCAATAGCTGCGCTCCTCCTCCAGCCAGGTGCTTGGCAGGGTGAGGAATGGCTCACGGTGCAGGCGCCTGGGGGCTGAGACCGCTTCACTGTGGTCGTGCCTCATCCCTGGAGGTTTATCTCAAAGAGGGCTTTCTCCATTTGCAATGGAGACAGGAGCCTGCAGCAAAGCGTCCCCGTCCCTCAGCGGCTTCCACGGAGGAAGGGCCGTGCAGACGGCTCTGTGTAAGGAGGTTATCAAAAATTATTTGCCAGTGAAAACTGGAAATAATTTTAAGTACGCAAAATTAGACATTTTCACACTGTGGGCGAGCCGCCTGGGAATAATCTGCAGCCGCTGCAGATGACGCGCACGGAAGACCCTGCCATCCGGTTGGGCGTTGAGGCCACGCCCCTCCTGTTCTTCCGGGACCAGGGACCATCGGCGTCTCGGCCTCTCACACCTGCGGCGTCTCTATCAGAGCCGCCAGCCCTTCCCTCTCTTGTCGAGTACGCTGATGGCCACAGGGCCATCCTGCTTGGTTTCAGCCCGGGAAGGCACTCAGGGTGGCGCCTTCTTGGGCAAGCCTGGCCCCACACTGGATGCCAGCCCGGACATGGGGACAGCCCGGGTCTGAGGTCCCCGAGGCTCTGTCTCCCGGGGTCCAAGGGACCCGACAGGGTCTGGAGGCGAGGCCGGAGGCCAGACCTGCCCGAGGTGCGTGGGGGCCCTGCTCCCTGCCTCCCTCACCCCGCCGCTGCCTGCAGACGCCGTCCTGCGTGGCCACGTCTCCCGGGCAGGAATGCCCGCAGAGCTCCACACCCCGGGTCCGGACCTCGCTCCAGACACTCTGCATCAGGGGAGGCGTGCATTTGTCAGCATCTCCCCCAATACAGGAACGACCTGCGATGAAGGCCTGCCTGGCCCCGGCCCTGCGTGCCCGTCCCCTCCCCCCTCAGGGCCATGTGTGGAGCCACCTCTGCCGGACCCTCTGGCCGTCCTGGCGGAGGGACCTCTGCGCCCCTGCAGTTCTGGGCAGAACTGGGCAGCCATGTGGCCACCCCCTCGCCCCAGCCTGCTGGCCTCTGCCTGTCAGAGGGAGCGAAATTTAATTTTTACAAGATTAATGGCGTTGGAGTAATATTTTTAGCTGAGTGTGGTTCAAATAATAGGCCATTAATTGAAAAAGGAAATTGAAATGAATTTATCTTGTACATAAATGCTGTCACAGGTATTAATAGGGATCAGAAAATAGTAGCCTGTTCCCAGAAAGGGGGCGAACCTGCAGCTGCCCCTGGTGATGAACACGAGGCGAGGGCCCCAGAGCCCTCAGCAGCAGGAAGGGGGGTCTGCAGCTTGGGGGAGCTGTGCCCTGGCGCAGGGCTCTGGGAGGGCGGGGCTCGGTTGGGGTTTGCAGCCGCTCAGCAGGGGCCTGCAGGTCCTGGCCTTCACCAGGAGGTGGCGCCAGAGCAGCACCTCCCATCCCAGCCGGAGCTGCTGGAAGCTCAGATTTTAGACTTAAAATGATAACTAAATTCTGCCTGCTCCCGAAGACCATCCTGAGTGGCCGCTCACTGAAGCAGGTGGCTTGTGTGGTTCACTCAGGCCTAAGGAGACAGAGCATCCCCCACTGGCCGTCCTGGGCGGCTCTGCTCCCTCTGACCCTGCCCCCTCTGACCCTGCCCACTGGCCAGTCCCCTGCCTGCCTGTTTTCTTCTGGGAGATCTGCTTCTTCTGTGCCCCAGCCTCCCATCGCCCGTCCTGCTCCTGGGAACTCACTGACTGCCCTCATGGGCTGACAGCCCGGCCTCAGGGTGGACGCAGCCACGCATGAGCTGGGTGGGCTGGCTGGAGCTCGCAGGCTGGCCCAGCCCTCTGGCTCCTGGATCCTCGCCTTGGGCCGCGGCCACCTTGATGCGCTCAATGTTGGCCTTCTGCCCTCTGTATCTGCCCCTTGGATCCAGAGTCCGGGAGCAGCGAATCTGTCCCTGAGCGGCCTGGGCCTGCTTCAGCGCCTGCCGGCTGCTCGGCAGACTGTCTGAGCATGTGGACAGGGTCTGGGGCAGGGGGCCCGGATCCCAGTGGTCGGGCTTTGAATGCCTCGAAGACCGTGGGTTGGGTGGGTTTTCCCGGTGCAGGGGCTCTGAGCCTGGGGCCTCCACTTTGGAGTTGGGGAGACGAAAGGCTCATGAATAGTTGGGGAGGTGGGGGCCGGGTGAGCTGGAAGCCATGGGCAATGAAGTAAGACCCCAGAAAGAAGGGGCTGCCCCTCATGTGCCTGCCCTCCCCTGCCCTGATCCCCGCCCGGGTCTCCCTGAGCGGACATGGGCATCTCTGTGCCCAGGGCGCTGCTCTGGGCGGGGAGGGGGCTGTGCCACTGACCCCGTCCTGGTCAGCTTCGCCCCAGCATTTTCCGTGGTGCAGTGGAAAGCGCCCTGGGTTTCCTGGCCGACTTCCACACCTGACGCCCCTGGTGGTTTTGTGTTTGTCCGGAAGAGCCAGGATGGCCCAGTCTTCATTCCCCGTGAGGCTCAGATGCTGACTCTCTCCCCGCCACGCCAGGCACGCCCTGTTCACTGGGGCAGGAGTGACCGGAAGAGGGGACCCTAGGAGCCCCTTGCAGTGTGGTTGGGGGCCCTGAGGCCCCGCCCGCCCACTCCCTGCTCCCAGAGCCCCTCCTGGGGCAGCTCCTGGGCCATCCCCGGCACCACCTGCCAGGCACAAACCTGGTGGGGGCCATGAGGCGTGGGGTGAAGCCGGTGGCCACACGCCTGGCCGGTCCTCACCTGCGCCTGCAGGGCATTGGCAAATGCAGGAGATGGGGCAGGCGGGGCTGACCCTCCTGGCCTGTGGAGATGCCACGTTGTGGCTGTGCCCAGTGGAGGCACCGAGGCCAAGCTCCCAAGTGCTCTGCGCCCGGCTTTGGAGAACCCAGTGCTGCCCTAACCCGCGGAGGTTCTGACTTCCCCTCAAAGCTCTGGAAGTGGGTTCCATCTGGACAGACAGGTCAGTGTGCTGGCATCTGCCTCCCGAGTCTCGGGCTGCCTAGAAGATGGAGGCGTTGCTGCCCGTGGCCATGCCGGCCCCTGCTCCCCCCACCAGCCTCCACCGTCCCCACTGACCTGGATCCTGGAAAGAGGCTCCCTCCTGGGCTTCATGGGTGGGTGAGAGTGCGGCCAGGCCAAGTCCCACTGGCATGGACTCATGGGTCACGAGGGTCTCCTGGGACTGGGCCCTGTTGGCAGGGGCAGGGGGGGCCGTGGACGTCGGGAGAAGGGACGTCTCAGTCCCCCAGGAAGCCCCCTCCCTCCCTGCCGAAGCTGTGCTCTGCAAGCCCGCCGCCCCCGGTCACCAGGCGAGGAGTCCCCACGGCCTGTTTCTCCCTCGTGGTCAGACCAGGAGGCCCAGGGCAGACCCTGACGCCCAGGTTGGGGGTCGGTCCACACTGAGGGGTCCCTTCCTGCCCTGGGAGGCCTGCTGTGCTCCCCCTGCTGGCTGGTGTCCACTCTGGTGGCTCCTGGGCCCAGGACGCCTGGGCAGCAGGGCACCTGGAGGGCACNGGGTCCCTTCCTGCCCTGGGAGGCCTGCTGTGCTCCCCCTGCTGGCTGGTGTCCACTCTGGTGGCTCCTGGGCCCAGGACGCCTGGGCAGCAGGGCACCTGGAGGGCACCTGCTGGAGGGGGTGGGGTGGCACCGGCTCTTTCCCGCTCCACCCCCCGCCCCCTGGCCTGATGCCTGCTCCTTCCAAGGGGTCACCCTGCTCCGTGGTCTCCTCCTGTCTGCTCTCCTGGGTAAGACTTTGGGGGAAATTTATGGATATTCATGGCGTTGGCTGCAGTTCTTTGGTCCAAGGAAGGGCAGGAAGGCACCGTCCTGGGATGCAGGACGACCTGGTAGCCCCTCCAGCCCCGCCTCCTGCCCCGCCCGCGGGTCCAGACAGGCCTGATGAAGTGAGGGAAGCAAGATTGGTTTTCCGAGGGCGCGGGGCCCTCGTCGCTCCGCTAAATCACGGCTGCCGGCCTCGGGGGCGGGGGTGGCCGCTCCCCCTGCGGCCCGGCGGCCCCGCGGGACGTGGTGATGTGCGGCCCAGCAGCGGCAGGGCTGAGGGAAGGTGAAGCTGTCATATCGATCTTTTTAGCACTAAAATATGAGCCACTTTACTCTGCTCCCCGCTGCTGTGATGTGAAAAATAATAACTTGGGTCCAAATTAAAAATATTGATCTCTGGAAGGTGCTGGAAGTAAATAAACACCTTCCGAAGTTTTCGGGTCAGCCGAGAGACGGCACTCGGCAGTAAATGTGTCCGCGTGTCAGAGTCCAGGGTTCTTGATCTGTTTTTTCTTTAAATTGATTTTTCATTATTTACTTCCTAAAAGTGTTGGAATCTGGTCCTCCGCTGTTAAATCCCAGTGTTTGGGCAAATCGTTTCTTTGGGGCTTATAAGGTGCGGCTAATCCACTCCTCATTGATTGATTGATTTTTGACTCAATAAGCATGCGGGCCTGGCCTTATTTAGGGCCTCCATCATAATTTTTTATGCATTTAGGCTCGACTTTTTTATTCCCGTCTAGCAGATGAG